CCAAGGAGCGTCATCCATCGCCTCCTTCACGTCTTTCCCCATTGCCTGTGTCTCGTCAGATCTTTCCCAGCAGCAGCAGGAGTGACCTCTGTCTCTTTGATGATCTGCTCGCGCGAGTAGAGGATCAGGTCGAGAAACGTGGCGTCAGGCGCCTCCACTGCCTTTTGAGGGAACCAGCGCACAAGCACCTGAACATCATCACAACTAGTGCAGACGAGTGTAACTAGTGTACATCTACTCCCTACATTCACATCTACAACTTCTACATCTACAGCTGCTGCATCTACATCCACATCTTCCGCCCCTCTCCCTCCTCTGTCTTCTCGCCTTTCCTCCCGCTCTCCCTCAGTCTCCTCGCCCCATCAGCCCTCGGGCTCTACCGGCAGCTCGTCAGCTGTGCGAGCTTGGTACTCGCTGCGGAGGAGGTGGCGGTTGTCGTCGGTGATGGGCACAGCCTCTGCTTTGGCCCCGGGGAGGAAGCAGGGGACGAACCTGCGAGGAGTGAGAGGAGAAAGCAAGCTCTGCCGGCATACAGGTGCTTGCAGAAAGGAGCATAGCCCTCTCTCAGTGCCGAGGGGTCAGCGGCGAACCTGCAGCTCAGTCAACCTTGTCCTCCTCCCTCTCTCTCCCTACAGCTCGTTAACCCACTGCTCGAGTTCCTCTTGCGGCATGCGGATGACCAGCCCCTTGTATCCCTCCTGCCATTGCCTCTTGCAGAAGCTCTCAAGCCGAATAGCCTGACACACGCTGAGACGAAGCCGCTCCTCCGTCCCCCTCCCCCCTCGCTTCTCTTCTCTGCTTCCCCTCTTCTTCATCTCTCCTTCCCTTCTCCTTCCCTGTCTCCTTCCCTTCTCTTCCTCCCACCCCTCCCTCCTTCCCTCCCTCCTCCCTCGTCTTCTTCTACCCGCCCTCCCCTCATCTCCCTCCCCGCCCTCACTTCTCAGCCCCTCCTCTCTCTCTCTCTCTCCTCCCCTCCTTCTACCTTGCTTGTCCCACCTCCTCCCTGCAGTCCTCCTCCTCCGCTCATCAGTGTCGCCATCGCCGTCACTCGTCCCGCCAACCCTGCGGAGGCCAAGCACAAACCCCTCATGCTTGGCACTCGAAAAAATGACTGCGAGGGGAGGGGGGGGGAGAGGGAGGGAGAGGGAGAGGGAGAGGGAGAGGGAGAGGGAGAGGGAGAGGGAGAGGGAGAGGGGGAGGGAGAGCGAGAGCGAGAGAGAGAGGGAGAGAGAGAGGGAGGGAGAGCGAGAGGGATGGAGGCAGACATTTTTGACGGGAAGGGGGAGGAGGGGAGGGCGGCTAACGTTGAGAGTGCAGGTGACATGCTCGCGTAGCAGAAGACCGGCATGGCTCGTCGCTTTCCTCGTCTGCTCCTTGTCCTCTGCCTCCTGCTCGGCATCGGGCAGTCGCGCTGCCTCCTCCTCAACGGCACGGAGACTTTCCTCGTCTCTGCGGTTCTCGACCTCTGCCGGGGCTCCTGCGAGTCGAGGAGCTGGTGGAAGGCTCCCGAGGGGCTCCAGGCGCAGGAAGGCTTCCTCGTGCAGGCCGGCGTTGAGCTCGAGCACGACCAGCAGGCGACGCGCAGACTCGACCAGCTGGACGTGCAGCTGAGCATACGCGATGCCTCCCTTGCTCTCCTCCACCTGCAGGATCAGCACGCCTCCAGCACCAACGCCACCGGCAGACGCTGGTTCAGCTTCCATGCGCCTCCCTTGCCCGCAGGCGTCTACTCGGTGTGGCTGCTCGTCTTCTTCCTCGACGCCGAGGGTCCTCGCGTCTTCTCCTCCTCCTCCTCGCTGACGCTCATCGAGAGCGCGAGCTACGCGAGGTCGTCCAAGAGAAGCCAAGGGAACGCAAGCAGCGCGGGGATCTCGCTGTACAGGAAGTTCTACCAGGAGGAGGAGGAGGAGACTCTGGAGCTTCGAGTCTTCGGGCTGGTGGCGGGGGAGGCCTATGAGCTGGAGGTGGAGGTGGCGGGGAGAGGAACGTTCCTCCTCGCTCGACGAGAGACTCTGAGGGTAGAGGAGAAGGAGGGCGAGGGAGTGTCCCACTTCATCAGCTTGCCGCCCAGCCCGCGAGGGGTCTACATGCTCAAGGCGACGCTAAGAGGAGGCGAAGTAGCGGATGACGAGGGAGGAGGGAGCAAGCGCACCGTGGCAAGGTGGCGGGGAGAGATCATAATGGAGGATCTGCGGAGAGGAGGAGGAGGGGGGGGAGACCTGGACGGCATGCGAAAGATTCATGGCGAGCGACGTCACCCCGAGGATGCGCTAGTCACGATCCGCACAGCAGCCGTCCCTCCCCTCACCTCCTGCAGCTCCTGGCCCATCCTCGTGTCTGTGGTCGGCGCCTCTCGTGGCTGCTCCTACGCCATCCGGCTGCAGCTCTACAACCAGCAGGGGACGATGACGTACGAGGCGCGTGAGTTCGTGATGAAGACGGGGGAGGAGGACGTGCAGGAAGAGTTCCTGCTGCCGGCAGTGAAGCGAGGGAGCCACCGCCTCCTCATCGAATTCCTTGACGTCTTTCCTGGGGTAGCCGAAGACGACCAGCTGCTGTCCAAGCGCGTCGCTACCGTCACCTCCGACGTGCCTGAGAGCTGCTTGGAAGCAAGATAAGCGAGGAGGAGGCGGGAAGAGCTCGAGACAGAGGAGGAGACTTTTGTTCTAAAGATGACGAAGCTTTCTATCATATTTTATCTTATCGTCACTCCTCATCTTATCGTCACTCCTTATCTTATTTTCACTCCTCATCTTCTTTTCACTCCTTATCTTGTCGCCTTGTCTTGTCTACTTCTCTGCTCATCGCTTGACATGCCTGAGGTACTTGAGGGCGAGGAAGGTGATGAAGCGGAAGCCGATGACGTAGAGCGCGAGGTACAAGACGAAGAGAGGTACGTCATCCGTGTTCGACTCTGTCGTGATGCTCCAGTAGTCCCACACCGTCATCCTGTGCACTTCTCCTGCTGCCCCCAAGTTCGCCTCCACCCACGCGCCTCCCTTGCTCTGCGTCACCTGCCGCGTGCTGTCGAAGAGGAGGCTGCAACCAGGTCCCTCCCCTCCCCACGGCATCTCAGCCAACGAGCTCACGTTCCGCATCCTCATGCTGTCGCAACTGAACCGCTCGCGCCCCTGCCGCTCCGCCACGCAGCTGCTGCTGCAGTAGAACTGAGGAGGCATGGCAGCCTTGAGGCCGTAGCGAGCTGGGAAGACGTAGTAGAAGAGCTTCCAGGGCCAGGGGATGACGGAGACAGGCATGAAGAAGCCGCAGAAGAGAACCATGATCCCCACCGTCGGCCCTGCCACCAGCGAAGCCGTCTGAGTGCTAGGGAGAATAGCGGCGAGCATCTGCCCCCAGAAGCAGAAGGTGGTGGCGAAGAGGAAGAGCGTCACCGCGTACACGACGACATCCCCAGCTGAGCTCCACAGGCCGACGATTGGGTAGAAGACGAGCATGTGGATGGCGACGACGAGGAGGAGGTAGGGGATCTCAGCGACGGTGACGCCGGCGATGAAGGAGAAGGGAGCGTACATGGCGGAAGAGAGCTCGCGGTTGAGGACGAGGCGACTGCTGCCGATGACGTGGAGGCTCATGAGGGTCTGGACGGCAGAGGTGAAGAAGAGGCCGGCGAAGACAACTCCGTTGAGGGACTGCAGGGAGGACTGACTGCTGACGCTGCTCAGATCCATGCCGACGACATTGAGAGAGAAGAGGAAGGAGATGCCCACGACTGTGAGCAGACGATTCAAGCTGTAGCCCACATCGCGCCAGTAGCACTGCAACCAGCGAGCGACTGAGAGTCGAAGTTGCTGGGGGAGGCTGAGGGCGAAGGTGGAGGCGAACTTGATCTTGTCGCCCTCCCTCAGGCTGGCGATCGTCTCTTGCAGCCTCCTCGCCTGCTCTGATCTCTCGTACAAGCGCACGAAGTCAACCGTCTCCTCCCCCTGCACCAGCCCAGCTCCGATCACCTCTAGCATGTACTCAGCTGGGTTGCTGCCGTCCCGGTACATGGAGGAGGAGGCAGCTTGAAAGTAGTCAATCATGGTTCTCGCAGTGAAGCGTTCCTGCTCATCCCCCTCCACTGCTGGCCCCAAGTCCCCGTTGTAGACGACCCATCCGCCTTTCTTGAGCAGCAGCAGGTGGTCGAACATGGAAAAGATCTCCTGCGACGGCTGGTGGACCGTGCACAGAATCGTCCTCCCGCTCCTCGCGATGCGACGCAAGACCGTCATGACCACTCGTGCTGCTCGAACGTCGAGGCCGGACGTGGGCTCGTCGAGGAAGAGGATGCTGGGGTTCGCCACCATCTCTACCCCGATCGTCACTCGCTTCTTCTGCTCCAGGGAGAGGCCGCTAGCACTTCCTCCGATCGTCATGTCCAGCAGGGGGCGAAGCTCGACGAGATCGACCACAGCCTCCACCACCTTGTCCTTGTCTTGTCGCGCCATTTCTCGCGGCAAACGATGCTGAGCTGAAAAGCGCAGGGCCTCGAGCACCTGCAGCAGAATCAAGACGAGGAGGGAGGAAGAAGAGGAAGGAGGAGAAGGGAAGAAGAGTTCAAAGAGGAAGAGAAGAGAAGGAATCAGGGAGGAGTGGACAGGAAGGAGAGCAGAAGCAAGAGCAGTAAGGTACGCGACAGCTGCAGTAAGGTTCGCGACAGCTGTAAACTCTCACCGTCTGCGTAGGGAGATGGATGTCTGTTTGTTCCACATACCCGCTGATGCGAGCGAAGCTTGTGCTCTCGAGCTTGTGGCCGTTGACGAGGATGTCGCCGGAGACTCGTCCAGCTGTCTTCCTTCCGGCGATGACGTCCATGAGCGTCGTCTTGCCCGCACCAGACGAGCCCATGAGGGCAGTGACGCTGCCGGGAGCAAACAAGGCCTCCACCTGCCCCTCACGTCAGACCTGCCAGGACACGCGCGCCTCTACCTCGTTGATCAGTCGCTTCTCCATCTTCTTCTGCCCGGAGTCTGCCGGCGCCGCCACCTCGACAGTATACGAGAGCTGCTTGAGGGCGATGGTGACCGACGGAGGCTGCGGAGAGACGGAGGCGAGGAGCTGGAGGGCTCGATCGGTGACTTGAGACGCTGAGGTGCTCACGAACATGGCTTGCATACGAGGGTCCAGCTTCGCCTCTCCTCTTTTCATCCCTCTGCTCTTCCGCGCCATCACCATCACAGGACGTTCATAGTCCAGGCGTCGATGTTGAAGCCCCAGTGCGTAGAGGAACTGGCAGACGAGGATGAGGACGGCGAGGTAGATGAAGCCAGCCGCCACCCAGTACTCCTCGTCTTGGATCGCGAACGACTGCAGGTAAACGCTGCCCAGTCGCTTGGGAGAGGACCCGGGCTGAGGGACCAGCTGGTCGTAGCGGCCGTCAGGGCCGGGGGAGGAGAACTCGTTGACGGTGAGGACGCGGAGGATCCAGGGGGTGGGGACGAGCCAATAGATCCAGACGAAGTAGCCGGGGATGTGGTCGTGCGTGATTATGTAGCCCGAGAAGCACATTGAAAAAGCGGCGAAGGAGATGGCGAGCCCTTGAGCCCCTGAAGCCGCGCGGACGTTGGCGGCGATGGCCTTGAAGACGGAAGTGAAGGCGAGGGAGATGAGGAGGAGGGCGAAGAGAAAGACAACAAATGTCGACCGGTAGAAGCCAACGAAGAAGAAGCAGATGAGAGACACGATCATCACTTCAAGCACCTGCAACGGAAACTCCGCCAGCGACTCGGCGAGGACGTAAATCCACGTGGGGTAGAAACCAGAGTCTCGGTGCTTGTAGAAGATGGAACGCCTGGTCACAGTGTTGTCGACCACGTACATGTTGCTCATGGACATGAGGGAGGTGAGGAGGAAGAGCATGGGAATCTTGAGCGCATCCTTGTTCGTCTGCCAGAAGATGGTCCCCACTATCACTGACTGCATCAGTCGCTGCATGAGAAGCCCTCGCACTAGCGTCATGTCCTTCAACAGAACCGTCGCAGACCGCTTCGTGCAAGCCTTGAGGAGGTTGAGAGAGGAGGAGGCGAACGGCTCGTTCCACGGGAAGCGGTTGACGGGGTTGGTGGCCGCGTCTTCTCCTACCGCAGCAGCCTGACGGAAGCGAGGAAGCACGTGCTGGCGAAACATCTCCGACCGCTTCCATCGCTCCGACATCTCCTCGCACGAAGGAGGCTTGCAGTGCCGGGAGGGCCAGAGCTCCGACGCTTCTTCACCGCAGACGCGAACGAGAAAGTCAGCAAGAGGAAGACCAGGGGGGCAGAGAAATCCTATCTCCTCACAGAAGTAAGTCAAAGCTGCGCCTACTGGCCCATGGTAGACGACACACCCTCCCCCTCCGAGCACAAGCACCTCGTCGAAGAGGAGAACGACATCGGGTGGGGGTTGAAGGAGGGAGACGATGGTTGTGTTGTTGAAGGAATGACAAGCGTTTGTGAGGGATCGAACGATGTCAGTGGCTGCTGCCGAATCAAGTCCAGTCGTGATCTCATCCATGCAGTGAACCATCGGCACCCCGATCAGCTGCTCCGCGATCGTCAGCCTCCGCTTCTCTCCACCAGAGATCCCTCGCAGCACTCCATCGCCCACCACCGTGTCTTGACAACCCTCGAGCCCACAGTACGTGAGGAGCACATTGACCTTGTTGCGCATGTCAAACTTTCCTTTCTGGTCATGCGATTGCTTCAACCCGCCCTGCTGCGCAAGTCGACCAGCAAACGATGCCATGGTGCAATCGAAGGCGAAGTTGAGAGTTTGACGGACGGTGAGGACAGGCGTGTGGTTGTCGATCTGAGGCGTGTAAGACACGATACGAGGCAGCAGGTCGCGGCTGGGGTTCACACCATTGAAGAGCGTGTCTCCCTTTACGTCGATGTCGCTGTCGAGGCGCGAGGCGATGTGCTTCAGCAGCGTCGTCTTGCCCGCCTGTGGGGGCCCAAGGACGAGGCATATTCTCCCGGGAGCGAATGCAGTCGTGACCCCATGGAGAAGAGTCTTCTTGCAAGTCTTGTCTTCCTGCAGCAGCATGGAAGCGAACATTGACTTCAAGGCTGATCCAACCGTCTGATATTGCTCCCGTGAAACCTCCGCGGTACCATCAAGGGTGACATTGCTGAGGGTGACGAAGCAAGGTCCCAGCTTCTGCCCTGACAACTCAGTGGCCTCCTGCATCAAGTGAAGCTGTGGGACCCTCTTCTGCACATCGGGCTCGAACAGTTCCTGCACAGAGAGAGAATGAGAATGATCGTTCAAGTTGCTTGAACGATCAATGCGAGAGCCCTCGGAGACATCAGGAGTTTCATCCACGCGTACAAGAGTGACTTGATTTCTGCTGCCCTCGAGCATCATCAGCGTCCAGCTCGCTCCTCCTGCTCCTCCTCGCAACGCGCGCACCTTTATAGTAAACTTGCGGCCGGTCACATCCCCCTGTCTTACGACCCCTCTTTACTACGGTGATACCAAGTCATGTCCCCCTGTCCCCCTCGTAAAACAATATAAAAGAAAAGTAAGGGGACGTGGCTTCAAGTTAAGGGGATGTGACAGAGGGACGTGTAAATCGTTCAGGGGACGTGGTGACAATCAGGTACTAGTCATTCACCTTCTTTCTAATCCAGTCAGTAAACTGCCTCAGTCGCCCGTCCGGGTGGTCCGAGTCAGTCCGACTACTAGCGGCAGCACCAGCGAGCCTCGGACCGTGGCGGACGGTGACAAGACTCTGAGAGCAACTTGTGCCTGAGTGCTCCCCCCGGCCGGGCCAGCCGGCCGCCGCCCGTCCCTTCCCCACCGGTTGAGTACCTGCTCTTTACCGTGGGGGGGCCTTCGTTGCTAGCCAAATTGTCCCTACTGAGTAATGAGAGTCCCTACTAGATTTACTAAGTTTCACATTCCTTCTTTGGGCGACTTGAGCCTCACAGAGTCAAGCGCGAGAGGCCGGGCCTCAGTGACCCCAGATCGCTGGACTCCCGATGTCGTCGCCGGACTCCGGCCCTGAGTCTCACGCGGCTGCCCGCGGCCTGCTCCCGGCAGCCTGGGGCCACTGGTCGACCATCGACTGGCCCTGATCGGACGGCGACGCTGCTTCCATGGTGATCCTGTCGATGCGAAGTTCTGCTGGAAGATCTCCATGGAGATGGCGGAGACCTTGACGGGGTCCTTGCGGGTCCGATCTCGTAGTAGCCCTTGACGTTCCTGCGCATGCGGGCGATGGGGTACGACCCCGTGGGGAAGGCGCCGCAGACGAACTGGGAGCCGAACCCGGACCCGTAGGACTGGTAGCCGTTCTGCCAGTAAATCCTAATGAAGCCGTTGCAGCAGGCTAGACGGATTTACTGGCAGAAGGTAAAAAGTGCCTCAAGCAAAACAAAGCAGGAACAAGCTAAACCTCCTGGCACACAGCGCACAGCGAGAAGCTGCACAATCACACACAAAACACAAGCCCGAAAAGAACCAGCACTGCTGGCAGGCCGCGCAGACAAGCAGCCTAAGGGTCAAGCAAGGCAGCCGACTGACCACTGTCAGTCGAGACGTCCGCTGCCGCCACAAAGCTGGCGGCCGCGGACGACATGAACACCGTCACGGTACCGCTCGAGGTAGTCCTCCTCGCTAGCCTCCGAGTCAGCGGTAGCCGAAACCAACACCGCCCGTGACGGCGGCGACGCCGCGCCGGGCAATGCCCAAGGACCGGCGTGACCCGACCGATGCCGGGGAGGAAGCAGGCGAGCTCGGACCAGCAGCAAGCACCCCAGTGGTGTCGAGAGGCTCTCCGGAGGCACCCGACGACGTCACAGTGAGGGACGGAGACGCCTCGCCAGCTCCGCGCCGGTCGTCGGGTGTCCCCCATCGGAGTCGGAGACCTCCGGCGAAGACTCCTCCTCGGGCGACTCGACAAAGTCCGAGGAGGAGCTGTCCTCTGGCTCGAGAAGTGCTTGCGCCCGCAAGGGCGTCATGCCTTCCGCCCGCCTCGCCGGAGTCGCACCAGACAAGAGCGCCTCCAGCGTCAGCTGCATGGTGAGGCGCTGATAGGTGGCGGCGCGTTTGCGAGCCCAGACCTCAGCAGCAGGTCCATCATCAGGAACGAAGTGCCGACCAAACGCTCGAGGTAGTCCTCCTCGCTAGCCTCCGATGATGACGGCCCTGCTGCCTGATGACGGCCCTGCTGCTGAGGTCTTGGCTCGCAAACGCGCCGCCACCTATCAGCGCCTCACTATGCAGCTGACGCTGGAGGCGCTCTTGCACTG